GGCTGCGAAGATGGGCAAGCTATTCTTTCTGGGGCATGGAACTCTTCAGACAAGCCTGGGCAAAAAAGGGGTTCTTGGCACAGTGTAGGAGACATTTAGACAGTCCCAGCACTAGTGCCAGCTGGAAATGATGTTCTTGGTTCCAGCCGCTTGGAGAGATGGCAACTGGGACATCTCACAGGGCTGCCACTGCGGAGCAGTACCAATGTCCCAGCTGTACCTCTAAGGGTGAAGTCAGGGGCTAACCATCTGCACTCACTACTCTGGTAACCATCTAGATTCTGGAAAACCAGGAATCACAGGGTGCCAGGCTTGGTCCGGATGGGGCATTAGAGGGTGGAAGAAAGATGGAAAGCAGATGACGGGCTGGGGTGGGAGAGGCAGGTAATCCGCGCAGCTGCAATCAGCTTTTCTTTCCTTTTTCTTTTAAGAACATTTTATACAAGACTAGAGCCTGCACTCTACAGAATGCCTGTGCTGTGGGAGGAGGTATTTGTTCTGGCCAGCTTACCAAAGGAGCATAGATGTTCTTGGCACGCAGTGGTGGAAGCTTTGCTTCATTAATCTTACTGCTCCATCCCAAGAGTCCCTGAGGTTTTAAACAATTTCTGCAAGAAGCTTTCACCGAGTAATAACATAAAATAAAAAACTAACCAAACAACAAAGACAAAAGCCCAAAGCAGAGAACACATGGAACCATTCCCTGTGGTGATAAGCTAGAGGAGGGGCCCCTCTTGCTTCTTCCTTGCTTCCCATCACCCATGGGGTGGCCAACAGCTCAGCTGGTTTCTTTATCATCTCCATGGCTGGCCTCCAGGACTGATCCCTCCGCGTAGGCTTTAAGGCTACTGCCTGACAGGGAGGACTTACCCCAGACTCCTTATAAAGACTCTAAAAACGAATCTCAGATGTGAAGAGCACTGTGTGGATCTCATTCGTTCATGATAGATCCTCAGTTTACTAGAGGACAGGTATTCTTCTAATTTCAAAGAGAAGAAAATAGGCACAAAATCTAAGTGGATTGCCTGCCTGTGGTTATCCAATAGTGAACGGCAGAGCTAGAACTTTCCCTCTGAACAGCAGGCATTGTATTCTCTTTCAATGACACTCGGCTCTGCCCTTTCAAAGGAAGGCTTTCATTTTTATCATGATTTTGAATATAGCAGCACCTTGAGATAAAATACAAAATGCAACAAAATATGTGTAGCCAGAAGGAAAATCACAGTGAATAGACACCATTCACTCTACCCATCCATTTAACAATTAGCAAAGATGGAACTGATATTACATGCAAGGAGCTGCTCTTGAAGGTCTTCCAGAAATTTCAGACAGTTTTCTGTTGTTCTAAAGAGAATTTCTAGCTGGCACGGTTGTTTCTTCCCCCACACAGCTATGGGAGGGATGCTCACATTGAGCCATATCTGGTTCTTGTCACAATGTCCACCAGATAAACAATTAGAGATCTATGATGGAAAAATTCAAAACCCAAACACACAAGTGATGAACTGATCTCAACCATAATCAGCCTTTCGAGGGCCACGGGAAATGGCAATGTTGCATTTTTCTTCCCTGTGGAGTGAGAGGCTATGTATTTTTAGGAAAGAAATCAGCGCGGGATGCTGGAGGTTTGGCTGTCAGGAGCACTCGGGATGGAAATTTCTCTGGCCGGGGGGTATAATGAAAGAGAGATGAAGGTCTGCAGGAGGGGAGCCTATTTGCATGCCACCTAAAGAAAATCT